ATTTACATTATTTGCATCATTTGCATCATTTGCATCATTTTGCATTGCTTTTATCCCCTTTATCCCGCAACTTATTCAATTATTTACTCAATTATTCTAAAAGAATTACTTAATGTTGCAGTTGAGGCTGAGATTTATTTAAGTCTAATACTAAACTTATACTAAACTTATACTAAACTTATCAAGAAACACTCTTTATCAATAACTCTAACTCAAAATGCACTCCTATTCAAATAGGTTCAATTCTCAAATATTAACCAATCTCAGCATCAGACTGCAATATTTAATTATCCCATGAATTATTTGAATATCTGTTTATCTCATTAGTCGATTAGTCGAATCATGAAATAAACAAATTGCAAATAATAGAATATGGAATATGCAAGCATCATGTTCCATGTTATATATATATATATACATTCGTACTTGCAAGGACGTTTACGAGAAAATTTCTGTGCTATATTGATACTTCAATGTCTTATTTTTCAACTCTAACTTACTTGATATCACTTTCAGAGCCCGAAAAAGAATCTAATGGTTCGTCCTCCTGTAAAGGTGCGTTAATACTAAAAAATAAAAAGATTTGTCAAAAATATATTGAATAAAATTTTATTAAATTAAATAAAATTTTATTGAAATGAATAAATAAAAATTTCTACTTACCTCAAACATCGGACAGTAAAAAACATGATCCTTTTTAGTTTCTTATTGTTAAAAAAGAAATTAAACGACCATCTAAGATAAAGTATAAAAAAAAAGTACACACACAAAAATAGAATAAACAGATATCATTTGAGATGAACTTGTTTGTATACAGAGGTCCATTCAATTTATTGCAAATGATCTGTAGACAACGAATATAAATAGATTAATATTTACATACATAGCACCATCTTCAGCATTTGGATCGGAATCAATATCAGGGTTAAACGAATAAACGTTACATTCATCTAATTCAATTATATCATCAACTGTTTGCCATAGATTGAGATCATTTACAATGTATGCACGACCGAGGTTAAAGAGAGTATTGTTGATATAATTGCAAACCATCGGAACTGACGGTTGTTTTGTGAATTGATCAGGTTTAACATCACTATAACATAATAATAAAAAATATATATATATATATTTTTTAATAAATATATAATAAATATATAATAAAAGAATAAAATTGATACAAACGAAAAATCATAATCAGGATAAGACGCGTTTAGAGTTGCTATCAAATTAAACAAAGTCCTTCGAGAAGATGGTTGATCCATTGGACCAAAAGGAGATATTATATTATGAAAACTATGTTGGTCGGGTGATACACTCTGCGATTGAGAGTTCCATCGTCCTTCAAGATTTTTATAAAGTTTTTTATCAACTCCTGCCAGTTTACCTTTAAATAAAATAAAAATTATTATAATTATTATTATCAAAAAAAAAAAAGTGAATTATATAAACCATTTAATTAAAAAAAAACTTACAAGAATAAGTTTCTATTCGACCTATCACTCTGCATTCTGGGTTCTCAAACACTAAAGCAGTGTTTATAGAGTCGAGAGAAGAAATGTCAAGAAATTTCATTGAAGGTGGAAATTTTTAAAATCTTTCTAATAACGAAAACAGAAAAATAAAAAATTATTATAAAATTTATGAAAATGACTAAATAAATTATTTGACAAAAAAATTTAACCTTTAAAGTTACTATTTAGACTAAGCGAACGTATGATAAATAGGAAAAACAAAATAAGTGGGAAAATAAATTTATTTATACCAGTAATTGGCCTTGTTTGTTTATGCGCGCAGATCATATGACACTTTGACAACTTCCCGAACAACACGATTACTTCCCTTTTAATTTAAAATGCACCTTATACGGTTCTGTTTCTTGTTACGCGAGTTGTGTATCACGCATCTATGATAAATTGCGTACTAAAGTAAGAAATATCGTACGTACTGTACGTATGTACGTACGTACAGTACGTACCTACGTATGTATGTACGTAAAATACCCAAGTTCTCACTATAAAGAAAAAAAATGTATTGTAAATCCTGTCTTAGTTATCTTTTCGTACGTATCATGGTAAATGAATCCATTAACGTAATTCTAATCCCACCCCTTGTAAATCTATCGATACATCAATACAATATTTATAATAACGCGAGAATCTACAAATTTGTACGTAGAACCATTAGGTTAATTAAGCCTTTAATCATCAACAATGGGTTCACCGTTTTTTCTTTTTTTACCTTTAATGTTAGAGAATTGTTACCATATATAATTTAAAATTTGTCCATTTTGAAAAAACTTAATGTTAATACATGTAATAACCTACAAATCTGTAACTTAATTTTTTTTTTTGCTTTTACAATATCGATACGTTACGTATTGGAGATTTTTAATTACCATTACGCCATTGATTATTATGGTTTAAAGTGAAAAACTAAATTAAGTTATAAAATTATTAAAAAATACGTAATATTTATTAATTGAAAAGGCGTTACGTATTGTGATGCGCTTACTTAATTCCCTGGTCTAATTGATGACCAGATTTTAAAGATTTAACATTAAGAGGTTTTATACCATCCGATTCCAAAATCTCTTGACTTTTACCACTGGATCACGAGATAATTTTTCGTGAGTGTTGGCTTATCGTTAGCATTAAAGTGCGTATTATATCTATATATATATATATTTAAATTGACAGGTATAATCGGGTCAACCAAGTCAATTGGTTAATATTAACCAAATTAACCGGGTGATATAAAAACATCCGACAATTATTCATTCTTGTGATTACCCATTCAATGGATTGTAAGTAAATTTTAAATAGTAAAAAAATTCAATAACTTGACCAGATGAGCCATCAAACCTTTTCAGAGTTACTCTAATTAGTTAAAATTTAAAGCTCACACATTTCATATTCGTGAATCTATAGAAAAATCGTTACGTACAAAGATTATTTCAATTAATTGCCATTATTAGGCAATATTTGGATCAATGATAAGTCATATTTAGGGAGCATTTGAGGACTCCTTTATTTGAATACGTATAATGATCATTGGATTGTCGTCAAGTAAATTAAAACCAGATTTTAAATAGTAATGGGACTATGAAGGTTAAAAATAGGTGATACTTAATCGTCGCAATTTAAGAATTTAATGAGAATCTAATTGTATGACGTTTTAATTTCTAGCACCTCTAGTCCCATCACTAATTCTAAATATAGATTTCTTTATAAAAAAATATAATAATGCGGATTAAAGAAATTAAAGAATTGTTTTTAACTGTCATGCAACTTTTTATTGCATTTAATATTTAAATAGGTTATTTCTATTTAACAATTGCTGAATTGTGATTATAATTACCATATATTAATTAAAACATGCATTTAAACTATTTGCTTTTTATTTAATGTTTTATTTATCTAGATTATTGATTTTTATATTGATTTAATTTATTATAAATCTAATAATTATTATGTTTTTAAAAAAAAATATTTCTCT